TGAAGATTGTATACTACTTTCAAAAGCTAAAAATGATATTTTTCTGGTGTTTGTTGTATACATCCTATCTTATGTGGAAACCTTATTCATCATAGCAGTGTTGGGAAATAACATCTTTTATTTCCACTATGGCAGGGAGTTTTTTTAGGGGGAGGATTTGTTTGCTTGATCAGAATAAACAGTGACAAAATATCATGTTCTTGAAATTGATCTCAAGATTTTGTGGGAGGGGGGATATTTTTAGTTCACTATCTTTTTAGACCAGAGTAATCTGTATGCAAGATTTTCATGGTATATTTTCACAGTGTATGGTGAATAAATTACCAGCACTGTTGCTATAAAACATCTGATTTTCAGGCTGATATACACAAAATCTAATATCATTCTAGGTTGTATAAAATCTATTTAAATATTTTACATTCAGGAAATACTATTATCTAACAATAAAAGTATATTTTCTTATTGCTCCTTCTGAATATCACAATGAGGAGTTAGTTCCAACCTCTTTGTGTATCTGAAACCTTAGACTTAGTCCTCTTTCTGTATGGGACCTTTAGTACGATCAAGCCAGTAAGTTCATTTTTTTATCTGTATTGGGAAAAGAGGGTACAGCAGGCAATTTGGAGAGTGGAACGGACACTAAACTGGAGTAGGAAATGGGATTTTGAGTCTCAGCTTTGCCATTAACCAGCAAATGGCCAGAGATAAATTGCTTTATTTCTTAGATTTTGGTTTGTTCATCTGTAACTGGATGGAATTGACTTAGATGCCAGCTAGAATATTCTGTTATTCTATTAGGTGTGTCTGCCCCACATTTATTCTCTTAGGTTAGTTTGAAGGCAGTGAGTGATACACTCTTTAAATTCTGGTATAAAAGGTCAACAAGCAAAGATAGCAGAGAATTCTTCTTCCTCCTCTTGAGAAAATAATCATGCCTCCTGGAAGACTGAAAATTAGTATTCACCATTTACAAACTTTTTAAGTATTTCTGGATGTAATACTTCCCTTTGTGTTGCCTCTTGACTCTACCTATATACTAGTAAATCATTGAATTTTATTTAGACTAAATGACACAGAAGCCTCAAAATATGGGGCTTTAAAAAAAAGCACTAATCCACCTACGGTCCCTGGGTGGCACAAATGATTTGTGCTTGCCTGTTAATCTAAAGCTTGGGAGTTCAAACCCATACAGCAGCACTACAGAAGAAAGGCCTGCCGATCTGCTTCCACAGAGATTACAGCCAAGAAAACCCTGTGGAGCAGTTCTACTTTGTTACGTATGGAGTCATCATGAGTCGGAATGAACTCAAAGGCAACATGGGTCTTTTTTTTTTTTTTTTAAATTAATCTACCTAGTTTTAATTCAAGTGATTTTTACTTGGAAAATACCATGCAAATCTATATTAAATACTTGTCTAAAACAGCACATGTAAAATGCATGCTTACAAAGGGAAAATGGATTATTTAATTAACGAAGAATAGCTGAAAGTAGCTATGAAATTCCTAGGGATGTAAAGACGATTATTTAGGTGATGAATATTGAATAATTTTGCCCTTGCAGATCCCCTAGCCTAGAATGCACTCCACTCAGATCTTTCCGTGGATTCCTCCCTCACTCCATTCGTTTCTCTGTCTAAATGACATTTTCTCCAAAACACCTTCTACTCTAAAGTAGTGCCCGCCATGGTCCCAACCTTGCTCACTCTCTATCCCTTCCCCTCCTTATCTGTCCTTCATAGCATTATCACTCCCCGACATTTTTAAAATTTGTTAATTTTCTGCTTTTCTCAAAAGGGTTTAACAATCAAGTAGGCAATGATATCACCCAGTTTCACCTAGAACACTGCCCGTCACATAGTATATACTCAATAAATATTTGTTAAATTGAAGCTACGTATTTTCCACATAATAAGTGTCTTTATCTATAAACTTGGCTTATTTTATTTGTATGATCTCTTTAAAAATTGATAGTTTTCTTTAAAAGATAAAACCCCAGTTCCTTAAAACACACTTTTTTCCTTTCACATAGTCCTGAAAAGGAGATGAATTTGAGGTCCATTCACTAAATCATACCTAAAATTTTGAAAAGTATTTTAATAATTAATTTAAAATTATACCTGGGGACTGTTTTAAAAGCAGGTGATCTGGTTGGCAGGAACCAAAATTTGTTGATACCTTCTAGCCTTGTAATGGGTCTAGACTGAATTTTCTTTGATTTTCTTAAGTCTTTGCACCTGATCTGGGAATTTTAATTGGCAGAGACAGTCTAACGTCTAATGCTTCCAAAAGAATATAGCTGTCTCCCCAGCAGTTTCTCCCACTGTCGCTCCAAGGAGCCTATGAGGCTCCCTGGTTGTTAAGATACACTACATAGCTTAGCAACATGGTAACATTCCTTGTGGAAGTCTGAGTTCCAGAACCTCTTTGCCTGCCATTGTTCTCACAGCTTCAGTTACTCACAACTTGACAAAATCATGTGGCAGCAAGTAACTTTTCTGGATTTTTGATATATAGTAGAGTTACATCAAGTGCAATATAAAAAGAAAGAAGAAAGGTAAAACAAAGAACAATTTATATTGTATTGATAACTCTTCCCACAATTCTGCTCGAAGAACACATGGACATGATCCAACTTGTTGTAGGGTGACATCAAGTCGATTCCAACTCATAGAAGACGCCATGAAACAGAGTAGAGCTGCCCCATAGGGTTTTCTAGGTTGTAATCTTTACAGGAGCAGATTGTCAGGTCTTTTTCCCACAGAGCAACCAGGTGGGTTCGAACCACCAACTTTCAGATAGCAGCTGAGCGCTTAACTTTTGCCACCAGTTCAAAACCTATGAGAAGAAGTTGTACATAAATTTTTTTTTGGCATTTATTGTTTATTGCGTACCAGGCACTGTTTTAATTAATCTTCACATGATCTTAGAAATAAGTGCTATTCTTAGCTCCATTTTACAGAGGAGGGGATTGAGGTCCAAATTCTGTCTCAGTTATCTAGTGCTGCTGTAACAGAAGTACCACAAGTAGATGGCTTTAACAAACAGAAATTTATTCTCTCACAGTCTAGGAGGCTAGCAGTCCAAATTCAGGATGCTAGCTGTAGGGGAAGGCTTTCTCTCTCTGCTGGTTCTGGGGGAAGGTCCTTGTCATCAATCTTTTCCTGATCTAGGAACGTCTCAGTGCAGGAACCTGGGTCCAAAGCAGGTGCTCTGCTCCCGGTGCTGTTTTCTCTGTGGTATGAGGTCCCCCTGTCTCTCTGCTTGCTTCTCTCTTTTATATCTCAAAAGAGATTGACTCAAGACACAACCTAATCTTGTAGATTGAGTCCTGCCTCATTAATATAACTGCCTCTAATTCTACCTCATTAACATCATAGAGCTAGGATTTACAACACATAGAAAAATCACATCAGATAATAGAATAGTGGACAATCACACAATACTGGGAATGATGGCCTAGCCAAGACACATATCTTTGGGAACACAGTTCAGCCCATAACAACATTTAAAAAGAATAAAATACCTAGGAATAAAATTTTTTAAAAATATTTTATTGTGTTTTTGGTGAAAGTTTACACAGCAAATTAGGTTCCCATTTAACCGTTTCTATACATATTATTCAGTGACCTTGTTTACATTTTCTGCTTTGTGTCAACATTCTCATTATTTTTGTTCTCATTGCTCTGTTTCCATCTAGCTTTCTTGCCTCCCACCCCTGACCTGCTTATCTTTATTTTAGGATAAATGTTGACCATTTGATCTCATATAGATGATTTTCTTTTTAAGGAGCACTGTACTTACAGGTGAATCTGTTTATTTTTTGAGCCAATCTGTTATATAGTCGAAAGGTGACCTCCGAGAGTGGTTTCCATTCAAAGTTTAAAGGGTATTTCAGGGCAATAGTCTCAGAGTTTCCTCTAGTCTCTGCCAGTCCAGTAAGTTTGGCCTTTTTTTAAGAATTTGAGTTTTGTTCTACAGCTTTCTCCCATTCTGTCTTGGATCTTCTATTGTGTCCCTGCCCAGAACAACTAGTAATGGTAACTAGTG